GATGGCCTAGGACATTCCAAGGCGGCAGTTTCGCCCTGTTCCATAGCGTGGCTGAGTTGGCATTGACTCCAGGACAGTGAGTTTGTTTCTTTACAAATCAGGCACTATTTTAAGATCTTTATTATTTCATTTATTACCTTAGTAAATGTCCCAACACAGCACTACAAAGAAGGTACTGCACGAAGGCGATGCTGAGGCAACCTGACATGACTGCATGGAATGCAGGAAGTGCAGGAAAAGAGAGAAGGATGGTGCCCAGGTTTTAGGCTTGAGCAACGAGGTGAATAGTCAGGTCAGTGACCAGCAGTGAGATGTTGAAAGGCGCTCTTGCAGATACATTTGGGATTCCAAGTGAGGGAAATGGACAGAATAACCTGCAGTGGGAGTGGAGCTGGAGAAGAGGCTCCCGCATGCTTGTTGAAGCTCCTCAGCATTAACAGAGGTTGAAGAGACTGGAGACACAAGACCAGCTGAGTGTCCAATTTGTTGCTAATCAAATGACATACATTCATGGCTTCTCTAGCCTATATTCCCTTGGAATTACAAATAAGCAGTAGGCTATCAAAAAAAGACAGACAATGAGGTAATATACCCCCCTAACTGTCAATCACATCTATGTATCCTCCAAATCCTGGTGGTTTTATATAGAGCCATCTCTGTGGAATTTCACTTATTCTCATAGAAATCAAATACCAGTTAGCACCCAAGCAAGGGTTTACACCCAGAACATAACCATGACTTCTCTCTCTCCCCTGTCTTTCTAAAGTTCGCCTATCCTACTCTTTAACATCTTTTTGGCCAAACACAGAAATTAAAAGTGAGAAATCCATAAATATTTTTCTGAGGGAGAGGCTCATGGGTCAACACTACACAGGTCTGACAGTCCTTGAGTCACAATGACTCATACTCATCCCTGTGTAACACTTAATAAATATTCCTCAAAAATCCAGTGTTAAGCACACATCGTTAAGACTTGAAAAGGTCATGTGTTTGCATTTTCAACGCAGAATAACTATTTGGCCATCTAACCAGTTATGTTCACTTTAAGACTTCTAAGACTTCTGAAAGTGGGATGACAATTTTTCTAAAGGTTCTTCTAGAGAAAACTCCTCTCGATTTTCACATTTACAGTTCCAACCATCTTTATGTCTTTCTTTAAAAGTGTCATTGTAACACACCGTCATCACTTGATAGATTTCTTGAATCGGTGTGGGGAACTATTAAAGAGAAGTGCTCAGAGGTGCGGATGTCAGACACGAGGACACGTCCAGCAAAGGAAAGGGAGGGAGCGAAAGTGACGGCTGTACTGCTGGGACCCAGCTGCCGTTCAACATTAGACTGTTTGGTACAGAAATGCTCTGGGTATTAAATTCATTATTACAAACCAAACTAGTTTATTATAGCTCATTGCAGCTCCATGTGTGTGGAAGAACTGCTTCACTGGGTTTTGATGGCTACCGTTTTTTATGTAAGCAGACGTCCAGCCATGGGGCCACAAGAAAGCAGGGTCTGACTGAACTATGTGCCTTTCAGAAGTCAAGAGCTGACTGAGGGACCTGGTGCTTACTCTCAAGCTAAATCAAGTCGATTTTGACTTAGAGCAATACCATGTAATACAGTTGACCTTCCCCATCAGGTTTTCTAGGCTGTAAGGACTCCTGGTGGCATAGTGGTTATGCATCGGACTGCGACATACAAGGTCCACAGTTTGAAGCCACCGGCCACTCCACAGAAGACCAACGGGGCTTCTTCTATTCTTGTAAAGTATGGTCAGGGGCAGTTCTACAAGGTCA